TAACAAGGATACACTATTGTCAAATTAAGGTTTAGGTTTAAAGAATCATCCAAGAATCGATTCTAGTATCTATCTATTAAACTTTTAACAGAATGGCACTCCGCGCACTTGGGGCATCGTTCGAAACCTACGGCTATGAGTGGAACTTTTTACCAACGTTTAATGTTGACATAAAATCAACGATATTAAATACCCTAGATACAACATCATGAACAAAATCGTGGCTGAAACCTGTCCAAAAGGTAAATTGGACGATACGCGGAGCTCCGTAAGATGATCGCGTAGTCAAAAACAATGTAAGGCATTATTTAAACATTCAAAGTTATGACGGTTCAAAATGCAAGCTCGTAAAATTTTACCGCTTATTGCTATACGCGTAAGAATAAAGACCTTATTTCTTTGACTCTACGCACTGAAGATGCGCTATTAGCAACATAGCAGGTACGGACCGCGAGGAAAAGAAACAACTATATTACCGATCATGCATTTGAATATCACGTTTTTTTTCTATTAAATCAATTTATAGTAAGTATTAGAACATATTTATTTGCTTCAAATGCGTTAAATTTACAAACATTTATTAGATACCTGTAAAAAAAGGACACTTTACGTACTATAAGTATTTATTATGCATTTTTTCACGGAACTATGCGGCATCTTGATTTTCAACGGTCCGCGCGTGACTGTGAGCCAAGTAGTGCTTGAGTCGTGTTCAAGAACTTCTTGATTGGGACACATTTTGAGCGCACGTGTTGCATCTAGGGTATTTAATATCGTTGCATAAAAAAGTATGAAACTGATGTCAATTTTGACATTTGTTGCACCTAGAGCGTAGTTTAGAACGCACCCCGGTAAACGAATGCAAATACCCACTAAGGTTTTTGCGCGATTTTATCAAAAGCGGTAAGTATTTTTCCATGAAGAAATCTCATCTAATATTCCCAAAAGTTCAATGTGGAAATTACATTTGTTAAGAAAATCCACTTCCAAACGTATTGCGGTCATTGTTTAGTTTGTTTTTGGCTCATTTGAAAAACTGTAGAAGAGAGGCGAGATGAAGTAAGTTAAATAAAATGTGGTTTTGATTACTGAAGTTTTAATTTATATTAAAATCATTTCTGTTTTTTGCAGTGGTGTCACAATCGTCGCATCCCTCTGTAGAGCAGCTTAATGTGTTGATCGAGTTCCTAGCAGCTAATAGAGATTTAGCTAAAGATTTCTCTAAGAACCTCAGTGCCAAATAAACCTATCATTGCTAGCTCCAACAAATGAGGCATCGACATGCAAAACATTGAGATCGGCATCAACAATCTGTAACAAAATATTTACAAAATTTAATTCCAGTCTTTTAATTTATCTTTACATAATCTTATTTATTTATATGTTCATGAATCATGACAAGTTTTAAGAAAGTAACAAATAGATGAAAATCAGTTAAAGGTGTAGGTACTTACTACTTGAACATTTCTTGCATGCTTACCTTTACGACAATAATACCGTTCTTCATTTTCTTTGGGTCGTATCATGGTGACAAAGATACCATCTATGCAACCAGCAACTCCACGTATTTGAAATTTCTCAAAAAAACTGTAACAAAGGTAAAGAATAGCTCATTTAATATTTACTTTACTAAAGTAACTGCCAATAAAAGTATTTTTTTATGATTTCATTACCTAAAATACTTTGAGACACGGGCCCATAGATTTTTTAGAATTCTGATACTGTTACAGGATTGTAAAAGTTATAAGAAACACTGGTCTACTTGATTTATAATATAATATTTAACTTATTGGTTATTCTAGTTAATCAGAGTTTACTTACTGTTCCTTCAACACTTGGTGTTGAGATGCATTTCGCGGAAATGTTATATATTTTTACGATGTCTGGATGACTTAAAATTGAGGCAATTTCATTTATACTTCTTGACATTAATATTAAGCACAAGGCAATAAAGTGAGATCTGAAAAAAATAGGTGGACATGAGTTTTTGAATTATTAAATAAACAATGAGACCTACATTAATAATACTTACTTTAAAAGATCTTTTCTAAACAAAAATCGTAATTTATTAGCAGTTTGTTTGATTGATTGCCATAGCTACACACTAAGTCACTTTGACATAACAATTCGAGTGCGGATCCGAAAGTGAGTGTAAAATTCGTTACAGAATGCCATTAAACTTCAAATCCTTGAGCATATTGTCAAGCTATATCCTGCGTTAGTTCATTTCACCGCCACTCTCGCCTAGTAGCGCTAGTGTTGATTCTCACTTGACTACAGAATGCCAATCATAAAATCCGAAACGGAACCGCGTTCGAAAGTGAAATGTGTGTTTACAGAATGCCACTCCAGGTCTTACATAAGGTTCAACTCGCAATGCACATAGGTCAAATGTTACATAATCAGGTAAGATATTACCAGCAAAGGTTATGGAGACAGTTTTAAGGGGAACAATACCTTCAGGAGTTTTCTTAGTAAATCGCCTAATACCAAGTATTTCCTGTGAAGAAATCAGCTTATTAAATAAAGTTTTATTACTTATTTCCGTTGGTACGAACTTCACTACTCCAATACACTCAGCCTGAGAAGCTGGAATGTACGCCTTCAACTCGTGATTCTTTAAAAAATTTGTATTATTCAGTAAAGCGTTTCCATTTTTAGAATTATCAAAGATTACAGCATACTTAGTGGCATTGACCCGTTTTAATTGCTTAACTCCTTTTACAAATCTACTAAAGATGTTATTAAGATAAATTGGGCTTTTGTTACCAAATTTCTCCTCTGGCTTCATACTTTCCAAGTATACTGAAAATACAGTTCCCTGAGAGTTCGGTGGATAAGTTCTAATATGATCCTGCTTTCTATATGGTATATATTTATTTTCAATTTCTTCATCAGAAGTATGGTCAGAAACATCTGAGTGGATTTCTTCCTTACGCCTCTTATGAGGCTTCTTTTTTTTAACACTCATGCCTCCACTATCGTCATTCATAACTTGGTTACAAAAGAGTAACCTTTTATCAAGAATTTATCAACAAAATCAAATTAATAAATTTGCGTTTAAAAAATCGCGCCTTTCTACGTAAAAGCCCGCCAAAAGATCTCCTAGACTCCATTAAAAAATAAATATAAATTAGAGATGCGCCGAACATTCGGCCAAATATTTGTATTCGGCATATTTTTAAAGTTCGTATTCGGCGAATATTCGGTTGATGTGCCGAACGATTACCGAATAATTAAATTATTATTATTATTTCAAAACAATGTTTTCCTTTCATAATTAAGTTTAATTAAAAAGGTATGATTCATTGTGTTGCTACATAGTTTTTATAACTGAATACATACATAAAGTCACGCCTTGCTCCCACAGGGGTAGGCAGAGATTACTTCTTTCCACTTGCTACTACGATCCTTACATACTTCTTTCGCTTCATCTACTCTCATTACCGTCCTCATACATGCTCGACGATTTCGGGTAGTTTTGACCTTTTATAAATAAAAGACACACTTATTTGCGTAAAAAATTCTTTATTGACAAAATACTTATTAAAATTACCATTAAGAGATCAGAAAAAATAATAAGTCTTATTTAGTAATAATTATCAATTAAATATTTATAATTAAAATTAGAACGCATCCGTCTCCTGTAGAGTGCAGCATGGACTTATATAAACCTGTTTGCCGCGCAAAATTGAACCGAATGATTCGGCAGAATATTCGGTACATTTGGAACCGAATGTTGAACCCACATTCGGCGCATCTCTAATATAAATCCAGTAATATTAAACAAATTCACTGGTAAATATAGTTTTCACTGCAAAAATAATAACTAATAACAGATACAAGACTATTATAGCAGGCGCCAAGTACGAACGTACGGAAACTAACTGAACTAATGCAAATGATGAACGAACGGCAGAATATTCGGTACATTTGGAACCGAATGTTGAACCCACATTCGGCGCATCTCTAATATAAATCCAGTAATATTAAACAAATTCACTGGTAAATATAGTTTTCACTGCAAAAATAATAACTAATAACAGATACAAGACTATTATAGCAGGCGCCAAGTACGAACGTACGGAAACTAACTGAACTAATGCAAATGATGAACGAACTTTATTCGTTGCGCTCTTGTAAATTTGACATTAGTATTACTAGCGGTGGGTCGTTCTCAAATTTTCTGACGACGAAACGCAACCGTTTTCACTTACACGAAAACTAGTCCTCGAAGCGGTTCTCGTTCGCAACTGGTTTTGGTTGCGGCTGGGTGACGAAAAGAAACGACACGCGATAGATGAACGAATCTAACGCAACGAAACTGAACTAAATGAAATCTTGTTAACTTTCGTTTCGTTGCTGCGAACGAGACGACGAAACATCGAAATAAATGAAGTGTTATACGATATTCGACTTTAAATGTTCAAAAAAAAAGATTATATTATTGTAAAATCAAAGCTTAATTTATCATAGAACGAAACGGCCTTATATCATTGCGTTCTATTATAGACTGTATTTACTTCACCATAAAGTACATATTGGCGTGCAGAGAAACATAAAACGGTTCTATGGTCGCGGAACACAAAACGGTCCTTGAAACCGGTTCGTCTTTAGAACGCGCACACCTAAGTATTACTAATTAGTAGTCGTTATTCGAATAATGACATTAGTATACTAATTTGACTTTCGAATAGCCAAATTAGTAGTTAAGAATTGGTCGAAAGGTAAAATCATTCGTAGTCGCGCATCGCTAGGCATGTGTGTAGAGACAAGACGATATTGCCCCGACCGCCGCGCCGTGCACCTTAGATTAGATTGTCCCTGCGGCAGGGATGTCAGTAGGCCGCTTAAGAGAATCATGCCAGAATGACAGAATCGACTCCATTGAAGTACGTAGTATCTGAGTAATCTGTGACCGTAGACCGTAATCAGTTCTCCATAACCTTAGTAATCTGTGCATTTCTTTCTCTCTCTATATGCTGTTTAATCATCTGTGTGTTGCGTTTGATGTATAGGTTAGAATTTCCTAGAGTAATAATGTTTTGTGTTTAAAATTAACAATACAATTACAAAAAAAATGTGTTACATTCAAATCTAATTAGAAATATCCTTTTGGTTCTGGCTATATTAAAACTGAAAAAACATTTTGCAAGAACGTTATATATACCTTGGTAAGTACCTACTCCTATCATAAATAAAGAGCGTACTCCTTCCTTAAAGGCCGGCATCGCATTTGTGATACTCCTGGTGTTGCAAGTGTCCATGGGCGACGGTGATCACTTACCATCAGGTGAGCCGTCTGCTCGTATCCCCTATAACAAAAAAAAAATGTGAAAGTTTATTATGTTTGTTAAGGTGTGATCCGACGGCGTGTGTTGTCGCGGGCGCGGCCGCGCCGCGCAGCATTGCCAAACGTATGAGAACTCTTATGTTTGAGATTTAGCAGTCTCTACTCCATAGATAATACGAAGTAAATAGAAATCTCGTACACTTTGATATGAGATTTGAAGAATGTTAACTGTTTGTGTAATTTACACATACCAAAAATATTATAAGACAGTAAATACATTTCCAGTCCGCAAAGGATCGACTCAGTAAGTACTATGCGATTCAAAAAAGAATAGGAAAGCCAATGACCTCCATCTGTCATATGAAGCTTGAAAAGTAAGGTTTGCAAAAAAAACTTGTTACAATTTTTTTTAGCACTGAGCTAATCTTAGAATAAGTACCAAACATTTGTAAACAAAAGAAGGAAATAAATCATATGAAATGTATAGAAAATTAGTACTGGAAAAGGGAAATATAAGAACTTGTTTTTTTTTTGTTTTTAAGCATTTAACTGCTAGATGTTTAAATCTAAAGGAAAGTTTTTACTAGAAAAAAATCTACGCAGACCAGTACAGTGGGAAGAGATGGCGCTGCCTTGCAGCTTAAGGCTAGAAAAATTTCGACGCGGCCTTCAGGGCCGTGGTAGCATAATTGGTCAGTGCATTCGCCCGGATTGCGAAGGGTGCGGGTTCGAGTCCTGTCCGCTGCCTGGTCCGCGTGAATTTTTTTCTAGTAAAAACTTTCCTTCAGATTTAAACATCTAGCAGTTAAATGCTTAAAAAAATAAAAAAAAACAACTACCTATAATTGCTATTTCTTCTTTCAAATGTTTAATACTTGAAGAAGTATTCATTTGACATTGTGGGTTACCTACAATGCGAAGAGATGGCGCTGCCTTGCAGCTTAAGGCTAGGAAAATTTCGACGCGACCATCAAGGTCGTGGTAGCATAATTGGTCAGTGCATTCGCCCGGATTGCGAAGGGTGCGGGTTCGAGTCCCGTCCGCTGCCTGGTCTGCGTGGATTTTTTTTCTAGTAAAAACTTTCCTTTAACTTTAGTTTAATTATAAATACAGGTAATAAAAAGACCCGTTTTTACTTTAACTAAAGTTGTCGTTTTAAAAACTGTAATAATAATTATTAATATTTTGTTTTATAGCCCAAAGCATCAGTGATGATGATGACTATTCCGACGGTAGTGCTTAGACGAGTGGAATTAAAGAGCTAGATTCTGATTAATGGTTTTCTCACTCGGTCTTAATAAATGAATATTATAAAATATCTGATATTTATTCTCACTTAATTTTGGTAAATAAGTTTTATTAAAGAAAAACTGTTTTGCTTACTCTACCTAACTGGTTTGAATTGACAGCTCCGACGTCACAATACGGCGCCCAGTCGGTCCTATTCTTAGTGTGCGATTACAGTGGCGCGGGGCGGGCAGCGGGAGAGGGTGGCGGGTCAAGAGGAAAACTCACATTTCCATGGATGAACACAGTAGCAGCGGGCAGCGGGGCGATTGAGCGATCTGGACGTACCTACCTCGTGCGATATTGGAAATAATAATAATAATGTCATATTATTTGGAAGCTTATATAAAGTGGGATCTTTTTTTCTGAATCGCCACGATATATCACTATTGATATCGTGGCGTGGCGGTATAGACATGGAGAATTTTATACTTTATACGAATGATTTGAATCACTAGAATTCCACAAAGGTGGCCGAGCCAATACAGCACTTATTAAAACTTCAGTCGTTATCGGCATGTCCGCACAAATCGGGCGGGAAACGCATATTACTGACTTGCGGACGCAAGCCCGCACCGCTCGCAACACCCGCTTATCCCGCTGCGATTCCCGCTCACCCGCCCCGCTGTTACTGTAATTTCACACTTAGATGAATCGCATTGAACAGCTTCATTATGCCATCACAAAGTGTACGAGATTTCTATTTACATTGTATCATGTATAGACACTGCTAAATCTCAAACGTTAGAGTTCTCATACGTTTGGCAACCCTGCGCTGCGCGGCCGCGCCCTCGACAACACACGCCGTCGGACTGCATCTTTACAATCACACAAAAAGTACTGAATGGATGTTGATAAAAGGACATTGCTCAGCGTCCATACATAGTTAGCCTAAGAACCAACAATCATGAAATATTATTTTCTAGGTTCAAAGTCGTAAGTAAATGACTGTAAAAACAAAGATTATTGACGGACACTTCTGAGAACTTAAATTATTAGGAATACTAAATTTTTTTTGAGGTTATGTTTAATATTCAATGAAACATAGGTCAACCTATGAATTTAGTATGAACTCAGTATGAAGTGAATTAATATTACAACTAATTCATTTTATTCGGTGCTATTTTAAAGAATAACTATTAGGAAAAACTTGGTTAGGTAGGAATCATGAATAAAATAAAAACTGTAGTTTTGCTTCTTATTTAATGACTATTTTTCACTTATTTGTATCATATTGTTTATTGTATTTATTTGTATATCACGTTATATTGTGTAAATATGCAGCGTGAATGTGTATCAGGTGTTCTTGAATAATTTGGCTATTATTATTGATTAGATCCTCTCAGGATGTGGCACAGGTTCACTAGCACTTGGTAATAAGGGCTCTGCTCTTTGGTAATATCGATGGCATATTAGATAACCGATATAGTTAAATTAAAGGAAAAACAATCGCAAATAAACACACACAACAGGTAATCCGAAACGAGAATGCACTTTCCGGTATATTATATACTACTCTTTGGAATGCACGAATGCCACAGGTTACTACAAATGAAAACTGCATGCACCACAACCACAGAGTAAAGAATTTTATGCCGGCCCTTCTCTTGACAACAGTTTGTCCTTGTCATGCTTAGTAAGGAATGAAAAGGACAGACTGATGTCATGTTTTAAAATAGCAAATACGAATAACCAAGTAAAGTGCCGACATTAGGAAGAAAAAGTGTTTTGTTTGCAGCGCTGCCATAGATTATACACATAAAATGGTATTTATTGTCTCAGATTATTTTTTAACTTTTTAATTTAGCTTACTTAACTGGAAGTGTCCGTCACAATCTAAATACTGATAATTATCGCAAAAAATATACTAAGAATTATCATAAATGCCAAATTGGTGTTGGTTCTTAGGCCAATTTTAACATTGTCCTTTGGCACGCATATAATTTATGATCTGCATTGAGACTTAGGATACTTTTTATTCTGGAAATTGTAAGGTTCCTCTGTAATTCTCAAAAATCTAAAGTTGGCGCGGACGAGGTCGCAGGCGGCCGTTAGTACTAATATGATCTATTTAACCAAATTTGCATACATGGTTGTCCCTGTCTTCATGATTCTGATTTTGTCCGTGAATGGCCAGTTTTCCAGTAATGGGTTTGTTAGAAGGCTCAAGATAATGCACTGATTGTTGATATTATTATGATGATCCTTATGTAGGTAACATTACAGTTTTTATTGTTGTGCATTTTTGATACCTTTATTTACAAAATGAGGGTTTCAAACATTTTGACCAACTAGGTCGAAAACCTTCTCACAACAAGCCATAGCAAAATGTAAATAGGTACCTATATTAAATTGTTATAAATTTTGTATTGAAAATCAAAATATAATTTTGTAAATTAATACATAATTAGGTACTTACTGATTTGCATATGCCTAAAGTTCCCCACACATACCTGACCATCTGTAATGCTGCAATATTATCTTTCTAAATATTGCTTCATGATTTTAGCTTATATAAAAATTTACTTGTGTTAATATTGTTTAACCACTGAAGAGTAATGATCATTAAATATTATCAGATGTTTCCATCCACAGTAACAGTTACACTATTTACATCACATTGTTTATCACATTGAGAAATTAGGGTTGTCACATATAGTACGATAAAATTATAATTGTCTCTACAAAAGTGAGCAAAGACATGAGACTATATTATTTAGATAGATCTCTTTGTATGTAACTCAATATGAAAATATGCACCATGAATATATTTTGCTATTATAACATTAAACCACTATAATTAAATCTCTTTGGTATATTCTAATTTCTGCTTTCGCATAGCTTGTTAATAATTGCTTCAATAATCAAATCAATTGATTTTCCTTGATCTCACTTCGAAATTGGATTTTAAATATTATTTTAAATATCATTAGGTGATAATGTATAGCTGCCACTATAATATATATTCGCAGTGTGAGCGATGTAAGATTATTTTTAAGGAATTTTTTTCACACCCTGGGTTACATTATTGAAGTTTTCATATGGAAGCCTAACTTTTTTGAATACTCTATAGACTGTGTTTATCAGGGATAATGTAGGATTCTAAATGTGGAAGAATTATTTAAATTGGTCCTGTAGTTTCAGAGCCTATTCAATACAAACAAACAATAAAATATTCCCTCTTTTTAATATTTATATACATATTAAGTGGACAACCCTATCCATGTTTGTTCTCTTTACAAACAACTTGGTATAATTTATCAGGAACCCCTGCCTGCGTAAGGTCAATGTTTTATATTTCTATATTTTCAGACTTCACTTTATAATTGTAAGTTCAAAGAATCAGACATGGCAGCCAATGGAAAATTAGGTAAATATACTTATTTATAAAAGTTTTAAGTAAATCTGTATTTCCTATTTATTTAATTTCATGCATGATTAAGATATCTGTTTATTAAATTATTTATTTGAATGTTATAGTTTTTCTGAAAGAACATCTTAACCTTGCAGAAGGCAAGGAATAATTGAGCATTGTTATGTTTGCCAGATTTATGATTTTTAGATTCATTACTTAAATAAATATATAATTTACTCGCACTGTACCTCAAGTGGGGTGGAGTAAGCCATCTTCTGCTCCCTTCTAATTCTAAATAAGTCCTTTAAATATTTATAAAACATGATTTTGAAGTTTGTTTCAAAATTCTTTTCTAGCTCTTCTTAGTGTGTCAGATAAGACAGGACTAGTACCTCTAGCCAAATGCTTGTCAGAGATTGGTCTAGGTCTCGTTGGCAGTGGAGGCACTGCTACTGCGCTCCGCAATGCTGGTCTTAAAGTACTTGATGTATCAAACGTAACTGGAGCACCAGAAATGCTTGGAGGGAGAGTGAAATCCTTACATCCGGCTGTGCATGCTGGCATATTAGCTAGGTAATTAAATCACTGATATTATTGAATTGTGAATTATAATTTCGAGTCTTCATGCTATTTCATAGTACTTAAAAATCAATTTAAATATAATGTACAGACATAGAATCTGAAATAAAAATGCACAAAAAATACAATACAAAAAAGCGAGTGTTTAGAGCAAATGTTATTCTATAATTTGAGCTCCTATCTGAGCAAGTAACTTTAACTTGCGGCAGAACAAAACAACCTTACTAAACTATGTTTATTACTAAAAATAAAATGTTTATTAAATCCTCAGACTTACCGAGAGTGACCAAGCAGACATGAAGCGTCAGAAATTCGACATGATCAGCGTAGTTGTATGCAACCTGTACCCATTTGTACAGACCGTTTCAAAGCCGGAGGTAACCATATCCGACGCTGTGGAAAACATTGACATCGGAGGCGTGACGCTTTTACGTGCAGCTGCCAAGAACCACGATAGGGTCACTGTGGTGTGTGACCCAAGCGACTATGATAATGTCATTGCTGAGCTTAAGCAAGCAAGTGACCATCAAACCTCTTTGGAGACAAGGTAATGTGCCTAAGCTATTCTAATTTTTTAAAAGGTATTTATTATAATTTATGATTCAGTTCTTGAAGCTTGAACTTGAAGCACAAATAGTCTTAAGGTAACTTTTAGCAAACACAGTCATGTGTAATCTATTGACTAAGGCCAGTAGTACACGGACTGCTTCAAACAGTTATGACCGACTGCTTGAAGCCGCGACCGCGCGGTGAACTATAGCCATTCATTCGCTGCCGTACACACGACTGCTCGAGCAGTCGCGACACTCGCGACCGCTTCAAGCCGTCAACTACATAATGAAATTCCATCGTGCTGTCGACCGCTCGCGAGCAGTCGCGAGGCATACACTGACTGCTCGAGCCGTCGGCGGCTCTAGAGCAGTCGACAGCTCTACGACCTCCCCCTCCCTTCTCTTCTGGCCTCGCGGCGGCGGCGTCTAGTGTCTCTCTGTCTCGTCTCATTTGTCGACTGATCTTTGAAAATGGAGGGTGTGTGCGATAGTGATGCGCTTTTAAGTTCAATTAAAACACATGAAATTATTTGGAACTATAAGCTTAAGGAGCACAGCGACAAAATAAAGAAGAACAATGCATGGGCAATTATTTGCGCCCAAGTTATTGAGAACTTTGATGAAAAAACAAATCAAGAAAAAAATAAAATCGGTAAGTAAAAAACAGTCATTTTATTACACACACATTTATTAAGTTTATGTCATATTATAAAGTCACACACATATTTATTGATTTATATCATATTCCATTGCCAATCTAGTTTGCCTTCTTCGCTCTCCTTCTTCAAAGTAATTAGCAAATTCTTCACGGATTGTTGTTAACATAGGCCCACCTGGGCGAACCTCCTGGGTTGAATGTACTATAGAATGAGGAAGACCCTCAAACGTATCCTCAAATTTATTTCCATCTCGTTGTTTTACGTAGTTGTGAAGAACACATGATGCTTTTACTATATCCACTGCGAAATCAACACTGACGTTAAGTGGTCTATGGAAGATCCGCCATTTATTAGCTAAAATGCCAAACGTGCATTCAATATATCGCCTAGCACTTTTTTTTTCTCTGGTAAATTCTTGCCACCATATGGACGCATTAAATTTTCCTGCAAGCTGAATGCTTCATCCCCAATAAACACATTCGGTAATACAGGTCCATTATGCGATATTGCAGAAGGTGGAGGTATATTTAACTTTTTTCTTGTAAGATTTTATATAGACAACTCTCTTCGAAAATAGTTGAGTCAGCGTGCCTTCCATACGAGTCTATATCCACGAAAGTGAACATATTATTACTATCACATACTGCTAGAAGTATTATCGAAAAATAATTTTTATAGTTATAATATGACGATCCACTTTGCGCGGGTTGTATTATTCTAATATGTTTGCCATCAACGGCGCCAAGGCAGTTCGGAAACTTAAAAGTTTTTTTGAAACCATTTATTATGTATCTTTCCATTTATCTTCAGTTAGTTGTTCCATACACATATCCTTCATATGTATCCATATATTTCTGCAAACATCCCTCACTATCTTACCAATTGTTGTTGATGCTATTCTAAAACTATATTGCAAATCCATAAATGTACATCCAGTTGCCAAATACCTGTAAAAACATATTTTTTAATCAATAAATTGTACCAATAAATATTTTTTTTGTTGTTACAGCCATGTTAATACAGAAAAATGGAAGACATTAAGAGATGGGACCAGATATGCTAAAAAAATAAAACCAAAGAGTGGTTCAGCAGCCCTAAACATTCGGCCATATGCATATTATCAGCAGATGTCTTTTTTAAAGGTAATAATAGAAGATAGACCCGATAAAACAAACAGTTTAGAAGAAAGTGAGCACGCTGAAATTACGTCTGAAGAAAGTGAAAATCGTCAAAATAAAATAAACAAAGAAAGAAACAAAAGAAAATTAAATACTACAATCACAGATGAGAACGTCTTAATTGAAAAATTAGCTAAACGCTTCGATGAAAAATCACAGAATTCGCGCATTGTTGAAGATGAAGATAAATTGTTTTTTCTGTCATTAGTTGGCGAGTTTAAAAAAATTAATGAGCAGTATAAATTAGATGCTAAGACAGAAATACTTAACGTAATTAAATACTTTAAAGGGATGACAAATCACATATATCCTGCGAGCAGGGGATATTCATCACAGAATTCACCTTATGATTACCGTGGACAATATGGTTATAATACTGGTCCCTCTACCTCTGCATCAGCGACTGGCCCCTCTACATCAGCGGCTGATGACCAAAACTCTCAATTTGAAGACCTTTCATCATCTTCAGTAATGTCTGATGAATTATTTTCCAATATTTTTAATGAATAAAAATTTAAATAATTGTTATTTATTTTTCGAACCTCAATGTTACTGCTAGTCTTTCTTCTGCTTGGATACTTCTCCTCGTGATTGTGTCTTCACGTTTAATTTTAGACCTTAGTATATTATTTTTCTTCATCACTTCTAAGTTCCATAAACAAATGATGGAATTGTCCATGTTGTTCTCTTAATTCCAAAATTGGATGAACCCAAAATTTTCTCTTTTGACGTCGCCGCCGTCGTCTCCGCTTGAGCAGAAGCAGCAAAAGCAGTGCTTCCTCGTCAGAATCCATGACTAGACTGCGGTAGAAATTCAACTGCTCGAGCGGTTGGTAGAGACAGCTCGAGCAGTCAACAACCGACTGCTCAAGCAGTCAACGCCGACCGTTCGAGCGGTCCGTGTACGTCGGTCAGCCGTTAACTGCTCGAGCAGTCCGTGTACGCCCGCCCTAAAAGAGAATCGCTACTTTCATCAAGTATAAAAGACTACAGGAAAATAAATCAACTCAGTAGAAACATCGGAAAAACAGAAGGTCTTGGAGAAACACATTATCGAAACGGGTGGAGCGAAAATAGCATTACAAGAACTCAGAGAAACTAAAGAGTGGATCCCAAAAATTATAAAACAAAATGAAATCGAGCTAAGAAGAAGTGATATTATTAAAGCAGCTACCCAATTCTGTCAAGAGTTGTATTCTGATGAAGCGTTTTCAAAGCTATCCAAAGAATCCTACCGCACAGAAGAAGAAGAAAATCATATACCATCATTATTAAATAGAGGAATAGAAGTAGCAATAGAAAGCTAAAAGTTATAAAAGTCGCCAGGACCAGACATAATTCCCAATGAATGACTAAGAGGAACAATCCATTAAGGTACTCCAATTCTAACTAATATTTTCAACAAAATATTAACTAATAAAACTATACCAATACAATGGACAGAAGCTCACATAATACTAATACACAAAAAAGGTCCTAAAGAACACATTAACAACTATAGGCCTTGTATTTTTTTTTAAACATTTAACTGCTAGATGTTTAAATGTAAAGAAAAATTTACTAGAAAAAAACCACTTCTACTAGGCAGCGGGACTCGAACTCGCACCCTTCGTTATCCGGGCATATGCACTGACCATTATGCTTCCGCGGCCCTGATGACCGTGTCGAATTCTCTCTAGTATTTCAGTTGCAAGGTAGCGCCATCTCTTCGCAATTAAATTGAATATAATATTTATTTATTTATTATTTATTTTATTCTTCTTTACCAAAATACAGTAAATGGCGGACTTAATGCCATAGGCATTCTCTACCAGTCAACCAGGAATGGTGAAAATGGGTTTTGAGGGTAAGGTAACAAGAGCGAAGATGACGCGGTGAGGAGGGTCCCAGAAACTGAAACCTAGATTTCAAGTATTCTGGGGCACGTGGATCGTATAAAATAGTGAAAAGCATGTACAAAATTCGGAGATTTCTACGGTCACGTATGGACAGCCACTTGAGTTCATTTCTATAGTGAGAGATATGGTCGTACTTACGCAAACCGAAGATAAAGCGAATACCGCTATTGAGCAAACGATCCAGTTTAGAAAGTTTTGATTGATGTCAGAATAGCAGACGTCAGCATAGTTAAGGATAGGAAGTAGAAAGAACTTTAATCTGTACAGAGCCCTAAGTGTGTTTATAATTTTACGGCAAACTTCTTTAACTTGATCTTCCCAGCTGAGCGAACAGTCTATGAGTAGACCCAGATCCTTGACACTAGCTCGAAATCCAATTGAAGTACCATTATACAGTAACGGTATTAGTGAACCTAAATCCAGAAGGGCCAACTGTCGAGAGCTCCCTATTATGATTGCTTGGCATTTTGCTGGATTTACAGAGATATCGTAACAGTTGGACCATTCCGAAATCCGATGGAGGTCATCATTTAGGCATGCCAGGGCTCATCTAAATCATTTTTGTCGGCATGAACATATAGTTGAAGATCGTCCGCATACAGATAGTAAGAGGAATGAATCATAGTTGTGAGAAAGTTGATAAACAACGAAAAAAGAAGAGGAGAAAGAATATGTATAATATGTGAGATACCATTGTATTTACATGGGATTGCCAAGTCAATTGATTTATTTAATACATACAACATGTTTAATATTGATATTGTCAGTATAAGAGGTTGTTAGGTGAGCTAATTTCGTAATAACTCAAGACGGAAGGTTCCTTAAGTAGGGACTGAATAAATTAACTGACTTGGCATAACATGGATCTCACAACTTTTCATGGTAGAAGATTTAGAACTGAGTTAGAAGTCAACTCACGGATAGCCTATGGATGGAGGAAGTATTGGAGTCTGAAGGAGATAACCAAAGCTAGGGCCCTAAGCATATCACTGAAAAGAAAAGTCTTTAATACCTGTATCCTACCATGCCTGACATATAGATGCGAAAATTGGTCACGAACAAAACAACACCGAGATAAACTTGAATACTGTCAAAGAGCTATGGAGAGGAGTATGTTAGGAATAACAAAGAGAGATAGATGCAGAAACGAAGACCTCAGACGAAAGACTAAAGTAACTGACATCCTGGCCCAATAGACCAACAAATATATATATATATATATATATATATATATATATATATATTTGTTGGTTGCCCTAAACAGATTTGAGTGGAGAAGATTAAAAACAGCATTTCTTCAAAGATACGAACATCATCTTGACTTCCTGTAGAGGCTGGGGGAGGCCTTGTGCCACTGACACGCTACATTCATCACTAAAGTTTTCAAATTTTTAATCATTGCTATAATAAAGGCTTTAAATTTTATTTTATTCACTTCAAGCTAAATAATAACGATTATCATAATTTATATTTCAGACAAAGATTAGCTCTGAAAGCTTTCACACATACGTCGGAATATGACATTGCCATTTCGGATTATTTCCGGAAGCAGTATTCCGCGGGCCAATCTCAGCTCACACTCAGATATGGTGAGTTTCAATATATCAAAGAAGTAAACAGCCAAGCTTTTTGAAATTCCTCCATATGTCTTCGTCACATCCATATATGTTAAACTTCTGTAACATTATACATAAGTCACTGCGTTCTTATATTTTCGTTAGTATATCAAACAAATTGATATAAGTACATAATTCTAAAATTATAAAATGTAACTGCTAAAATTTTTCATTATTTTATACATATGTCATATGATTTAAATGCAATATCGACCACCTCCGTGGCCGAGTGGTTTGTATGCCGGGTTTCATGGTGTCGCCGACTCGAGAGGTCCTGGGTTCAAATCCCGGTGGGGGCAGATGTTTGTGTGATGAATACGAGCATTTGTACTCCAGTCATGGATGTTTAATATGTATTTTCTTAATAAATATACTTATATATGTACAGTATATGTATTCTATCCGCTACCCTAGTATCCCATAACACAAGCCTTATTATAGTTATAGTACTTTGGGGCTAGGCTAATTGGTGTGTGTTGGAAATATTTATTTATTAATAAGTATTTCTTTTATAAATATAATTTCTCACATACAGGAATGAACCCACATCAGAAGCCAGCTCAAGTATTCACAACTAGAGACGCTTTGCCATTGACCACCTTGAATGGTTCGCCTGGCTTTATAAACTTGTGCGATGCCTTGAACGGGTGGCAACTGGTCAAGGAGCTAAAAGAAGCCTTGGGACTTCCAGCAGCGACTAGTTTCAAACATGTCTCGCCAGCGGGGGCCGCTGTTGGATTACCTTTGACGGAGGAAGATGTAATTATTCCTTAACTGTCCTTAGAATAGGATTAGTTTGTGGTGATTTGATTCCTATTAGGCGGACGCAGAAGTAATAAATAATCTTGGTGATATTATAAATGTGATAGTTACCCAATCATGCAAAAACGGCTGAGCGCATTTGATGAAATTTGGCACACATTTAGTTTAAAAACCTGTATTGAGACTCCGGAAAAATTTTAGGTTCCAGAGGGAACCTCAAAAAACTAATGTTAACGTGAACGAAGAAATAGACGATGGCTAGTATGAAATAAAACTCAAATAAGTTGGTGTGATCTCATGGGTTTTGGAGCTGAAGGACTTGCATCATTGAAGTTAGATTCGACGATGGCAGTACAAAAGTCTAATCACCAGGACAAGAATTAAATTTGCTCATATTGTAATTTTTTACTTTTTTTAAGCATGTAACATGTTTTGTGATTTTGACGCGGCCATCAGGGCCGTGGTAGCATAATTGGTCAGTGCATTCGCCTGGATAGCGAAGCGTGCGGGTTCGAGTCCCGTCTGTTGCCTGGTCCGCGTGGAATTTTTTCTAGTTATATTTCTTTAGATTTACTCATATTATTTAACAACGTAAGGCTGTACTCACACTAACGCAGATTCGAAGCGTCGCGTCACGTCATGTTTTTCGCCTTAGAAATACCTTAACAGTGGGTTATTAGAGATGAATTTGCTACAGAGGAAAAAGATGAAGCGTGGTATTAAGAAGTCGCGCGTTGTATAAGTGGGGATATCTTAATATAATGGGAAAATAAAGATGAATTTACTACAGATAAAACTCGTCGAGTCGACTTTACGCCAGTGTGAGTACTTAATGAAGTACGAATTTAAATTTGAATTAACGATCTTAAAATTCTTTGCAGGCCAACGTATGCATGGTGGCAGATTTGCTGCCTAAACTCACGCCTTTAGCCAATGCGTACGCCCGTGCAAGAGGTGCCGACAGAATGAGTTCCTTCGGTGATTTCATAGCGTTATCGGACGTTTGTGACGAAATCACCGCCAAGATAATATCCAGGGAAGTGTCCGATGGCATTGTTGCGCCCGGATACACCAAGGTAGCTCTGGATATACTGAAGAAGAAGAAAGGAGGCAACTATTGTGTATTACAAGTAAGTAGAACTTAGAATAAGATTCTTCGAGGTTTTTAAGGATGTCTGCAATGAAAGCACTATCAGCAAAGTTAGCCGTTTTAATGTATAATATTGTATAAATAATAGGGTATTTCACTCTACTTGAGAAAAAATCTATAAATGTATTATTGCGATAGTATAGGCAAAAAGGAATCTGAAAATGTTAGTTTCAGTTCTTAAAATAACAAAATGCATTTTAAAATTCAATCCAAAGTTTTCATTTCTTTTAATCTGTTTTAAACCACGATGAAATAGTAGACGTAGTAACCACCACATTATTACGTCACACCGCTAGTATCTATATGTCAAAGTATCAGCTGTCAACTCAGTACTTTTAATTTTTACAAGCTTTGCTTAACTTGCTATGTATGTTTGTTACGGTCAAATCTTACAACTGAATTTTAAAGCACTTTCCCTCAACCGATTAAGCTGAAATTTGGTATGCTCGTTCAGTTCGGATGACAATGTTATGCATGATCAACAGTGTGACGTCATTCTAAATCCAATATGGCGGCATACCCAAAATGGCGGACCAATCATTTTTAATGCATTCCTACAATATGGGTACTATCAAATTAAAGGGCTTGCTGAGAGTAACTCGAAAAAAATGTGACGTCACTCTCAATCCAATATGTCGGACTTCTAAAATTTGAAAATCTATTTAGAAACAGATATCTTTAACTAATTTAGTTGAAATTTTCTTTTTTTCTTTTTAGCGCATTTGAATAAAAGCTTGTTTTTAAAAAGGTTTTGTTTACCTTAATTTTTTTGTAACCAAGGTTACGCATTCATTTACAGTACTCACGACCGCAGCGTTTTCGTTTAACTACGCGCGAAATTTGAGAATGTTAAATTTAAATGCATTTTTAAGGCACTTAACGATTCAATATTTTTTTTTGTGTTTTTTGTAGTATTTATTATTACTTAAAAAAAAAGACGTTAGATATTCTAGTTAAGACTTACAGATCCAGAAATGATATACATACTTAAGCTTACAGGCTTTCTCCCCCTCCAGTCCTAGCTCATGCTGAGCGTCGTGATGTACCCGACTCATATTTCATTCACACAGCTGCTTCCGCTTTTTCTATCTTTAGCGTGCTCAAGAGCGTCGGTGATTGTGGTGCTACGACATTTTGATATTTGGTCGGTCCATCTAGCAGGGCTGCTGCGAAAAGAAAATCACTGTGTTACATTCAACTCCTTGAAAATCGATGCATTTGTCCTATGGGCTGTCCACAGTATATGAGCTGCCGGCACCACATCGAAAGCATCGATGCGTCTTCGATTAGCCATCTACAGTCTACGATTCGTTTAAATTTGTTTATATAACTTACTTATGCTTACATTACAGGATAATAAATCCTTTTCCTTTTTCTACAGATGGATGCCAATTACGAACCGGACCTTTTAGAGAAGAAAACCATCTTTGGCCTTACATTGGAACAGAGACGAAACGATGCGAAGATCACGCACGAACTATTCAGCAATATTGTCACGCAGAACAAGGATTTGCCAGAGAGTGCTATTAGGGATCTTATTGTCGCCACTATCGCTTTGAAATATACGCAGAGTAACTCAGTATGCTTTGCTAGAGACGGACAGGTAAGATATATTTTTTATTAGCGCATTGCACGTGTTGGTGAATAACAAATAACGCATCCTACGGGCTCCCGTAGCTATTGGCATTTGGCCAAGGCCGTGCAGAAGAACTTCTGCCAGCTCTCGCTGCCACCTCTAAGATGCCAAGATGGAACAACTCTTTGCGACTTTCTCCCGAATAGATGATTGCAATACACAGCTACCATCAAATTTCTTCATTGTGGCACAACGATGCCTGATATTAAAATCAGGCAGCGTCAGGTTCGCGCCGAATTGAAATCTCTCGATGTCCGGAAAGCTAGTGGACCTGATGGCATCCCAGCAGTATTACTTAAAAAATGTGTAGCGGAGTTGTCTCCCGTGCTCAGGGGCTTTTACCAATGCTCATATTCTACCTAGAGAATCATTCCCTAATTAATGATCGTCGATATGGTTTTAGACCGAAACGATCGACGGGTGATCTTCTAGGGTACTTGACTCATTTCTGGGGTGAGGCTATCGACAAGCGGGGCTAGACGTTGGCTATCAGCCTTGACAATGCAAAGGCGTTCTACAGGGTTGAATTCCGTATGGGGTACTAAGAACTTAGTTGAGTTCAATGCTAAGAAAACCGGCAAAAATGGCATGGCATGGTAATGGCAGAAGTGGCTCAGAGCCTTCCACTTTGTGTGCTGATCTCCTTCTTGCTAGTTAGTCGGTTGCGTCATTACCTATAGAGCCGCTATGCCCCTTGATCCATTGGAGGATAACCCTGTTCTCTGTTGTTATTTGCTCCAATCATAGTAAACATTCGTAAACTAGCCTAGAAGTTTGCGGCTACTATCTAGGGCTCTTAAAAGCTATACTATCAGATATTATGCGCATCTTGTAGTTTATGACGTTCCTCTTACTGACAGTGGCGGCCTGAGTAATAGCTATCATTGACATTGGAATATTGAGCTGTGAATACCTAGTACTGTCGATATATTATGGATGTTAAGGTCTAGAATACTCCTGCGTCTGAATCAGATCCCAGTATTTTAGATCCGTCAGTGTATATGCGTAGTTAGTAGTACTTCAACCAAACAAAAACAAATAAACTCTTCAGGTCTAGTGCGTCTCCCTATAATCTATCTAATATATAAAATTCTCGTGTCACGTTGTGCATCCGAACTACTCCGAATCGGCTCGACTGATTTTCGTGAAATTTTATATGCATATTTAGTAGGTCTGAGAATCGGACAACATCTATTTTTCATCCCCCTAAATGTTAAGGGTGGTCCAAGCTTATTTTTTTTGTGGAGATTTTTTTTATTGTTTTTATGATACATCATACAAAATTACATACAACCCTACATTTTCACCCTTCTACCACCAACCCATATTTTTTATGGCGTATGGACAGCTAGTATTAAGTATAGATATGTGTTTGTGTCAGGTGGTAGGCATAGGCGCGGGCCAACAGTCGCGCATTCACTGCACACGACTGGCGGGCGGCAAGGCGGGCGCGTGGTGGGCGCGCCGGCACCCGCGCCTCACGGGCCTCAAGGTCCGCGCCGGCGTCACGCGTGCCGTCGTCTCCAACGCGGTGGACGCGTGGGTCAGCGGCACCGTGGGTGAGTGCTTACGTGGCAGGTGATAGGTATAGGCGCGGGCCAACAGTCCCGCATCCACTGCACACGGCTGACACCCGCGACTCTCCGCCCTCAATGTCCGCGCCGGCGTCTCCAACGCGGCGGACGCGTGGGTCAGCGGCACCGTGGGTGAGTGTGCTCACGTGGCAGGTGATAGGTATAGGCGCGGGCCAACAGTCGCGCATCCACTGCACACGGCTGACACCAGCGACTCTCCGGCCTCAATATCCGCGCCGGCGTCTCCAACGCGGTGGACGCGTGGGTCAGCGGCACCGTGGGTGAGTGTGCTCACGTGGCAGGTGATAGGTATAGGCGCGGGCCAACAGTCGCGCATCCACTGCACACGGCTGACACCAGCGACTCTCCGGCCTCAATATCCGCGCCGGCGTCTCCAACGCGGTGGACGCGTGGGTCAGCGGCACCGTGGGTGAGTGTGCTCACGTGGCAGGTGATAGGTATAGGCGCGGGCCAACAGTCGCGCATCCACTGCACACGGCTGACACCAGCGACTCTCCGGCCTCAATATCCGCGCCGGCGTCTCCAACGCGGTGGACGCGTGGGTCAGCGGCACCGTGGGTGAGTGTGCTCACGTGGCAGGTGATAGGTATAGGCGCGGGCCAACAGTCCCGCATCCACTGCACACGGCTGACACCCGCGAATCTCCGGCCTCAAGGTCCGCGCCGTCGTCTCCAACGCGGCGGACGCGTGGGTCAGCGGCACCGTGGGTGAGTGCTCACGTGGCAGGTGATAGGTATATAGGTGCGCATCCTATATGTGCGTAATTGAAGTACTCCGAAACGGCGCAACCGATTTTCGTGATATTTTATATACATATTCAGTAGGTCTGAGAATCAAACGACATAAATTTTTCATCCCCCTAAATGTTAAAGGTGGTTCACCCTAAATTTACACCCTTCTACCACCTTCTCCAATTTTCTTATAGCGGTACGAAGTTCGCTGGGATAGCTAGTTATTTAAATAACGATTTGGAAGCATGAATGCACGTCCTTACATACAAAATTGTCAAATAATAAGTGTAAGACGGTTGCTGGGCAGTGGGTGCATTCCCTTTCATATAATGAAACGGAGAGCTTACTCAAGGTCATCAAATAATACACGGATATACATGTGAAATCACATGCAACTATCATTTTAGTACAGTCGGACACTCTGACTCTCATAAACATACGCACATGCACATACAGGCACACACGCAAATACAGACTCACACACTCACTCATATATACAAACACACACACACATACATACTTTTTATTTTTAAGTAAATGGTAAGATAAGGACTGTAATTTTTATTTATGTATTATGGAACACACGTCTCTGTATCTGGAGATGGGCGCTAATAGCTGTAACACAGTTCTAGAAACTAATATAGCTATTAACGAACCTAATTATACATGTAACCTTAATTAGCTCCAATAAATATATTTTTATTCATTTTCATTTTTAAGGAGGCACACACTATTTATATTTTTCGGAATGGAAAAAACCTAAAGTATCTTTCGGAATTTAACTAATATAAAAAAAGAAACGTCTGCGCTAGGCTCACGCAATTCCGAGTCTGAATTCTTGGTCAACAAACCGAATCAGGAAACCGAACATGTGCGCCCAGTCTTAGAGATAGGAACTAGGCGGCTCACACGCTTGCCTTGTGCTGGCCGCTGGTTGTAAACCCTTCACATTTTCTTCTTCATCAAGTGCGACAGCTACTAGAGCCGAATCACATTTTGTAAAACTAAACCCCCACAACAGAAATAAAAAAAACGAATTTGAGCGCCCGTCTGTACGCACTGAAGACATTAGTAAAATAACACTACCTTTTTGTTGTGATGTGTTTCTGTCGGTGAGTAAGGTTCTACAGCTCCGTGGGGCAGGGGTAATAATGCTTCAATGACTGCACTATATGGGATAGAAATTGATGTGAATGAAGAAGTGGATATATTTAAAAAGAAAAACAGAAGATTAATTCTGCTGTAATCAAATGAACCTTCTGTTTCTTTTTAGGGTTCCGTTTTTTCCTTTTAAGGAACGGAACCCTTATAGGATCACTTTGTTGTCCGTCCGCCCGTCCGTCCGTCGGTCAAGACCATTTTTCTCAGAAACGCGTGGAGATACCAAACTGAAATTCATATCTAATACTCATGTCTACTGTCCTTTGGAGCTGTGAAAAAATCAAACTTCTGAGCCAAAGCAATCAAAAGATACAGCCGTTTATGCCGCAAATTTCTGCAAATTTGCGAATCTCGCACGGGAATCAAAACCTACAGAATACTTGTTTTAGAATTGCGAAAACCGTAAATTTTTAGTTACATCATATAATAAAAATATTTTCGAAAATTTTAAAGTTACTACCTCTTTTCTCATGAACGCGTAGAGGTATTAAATTGAGTTTGTACGGAACCCTCGGTGCGCGAGTCCGACTCGCACTTGGCCGGTTTTTTTTACATATTTCTTACTTAATATAAAGATTATTGCATGCACTTTCAGTAATTTTATTTTCTTGAACACCCCCCCCCCCCCCCCCCCCCGATACTCAAACCTGGCTACGCCCGTGGTAATAAGTACAACGTTTACAACTCTTAAAGTCACAAAAATAATGGAATTTATTTTGAGTATTTTTACATAGATTGACCTTCGTTATCTAACAGGTACGGACATGCCTCTAGAACAGTGGAACTCATTGTTCGAAGGCGAACCGCCGGCGCTTCTGACTGACCAAGAACGAGAAGAATGGCTTCGGAAGATGGACAAAGTCGCGCTCGCATCTGATGCGTTCTTTCCCTTCAGAGACAACATAGATAGAGCTGCGCAGGTTCGTTTTTCTAACACACACTAATGTTATAAATGAGGAGCTGGCGAACAAGACGTTAAAATTACGCATCTGATCAAAATACTTATTTTTACAATCCGGAGGTTTTGGGCTTGCTGAATTTGAATCTTAACTTATTTCCAATCAAAATCGCCTTAAACAGTGTTAAAGTTACTAAATGAATAAATTGAAATCCCGCCAAAAGCTCACTGTAGGTGTGTCATTCAGTTTTTTACAGCTCTTGTAAAATTTAATATTATGTAATTATACCATTTTGTTCGGCGGCTCCTCAAATGTGAATTTGTGCCGTCTGAAGCCCAAGCACGAATTTCAACAGTTCCGTAATCGTATCGTTAACGTCAAATTTTGTATGGAAGAAGCTAGTTTGTTCTTACGTCCGATAGAGGCGCTGCTTAATTTTCATAGAAACTGACGATGCAATACGTTCCGGAGCTGTTAAAAATTCATGCTTGTTACTCTGATACCTCTACATACCCTTTAACATGAAAATATCGCTGAACTAACTGAGATGAAATTTGATAAAGAGATGGTTTCGAATCCTCAAAAAGGAGAAGTCGTGGGAACCCGCTAGTAATCGATATTTGTGACATCATTTTCAGAAACCCGGCGTACCAAACACTCGACCACGGAGGTATATATTTTAAACGTGTATTTTTACAGTGTGGCGTACAATACATTGCTAGTCCGGCTGGCTCTAACAACGACAAGGAAGTGATTGACGCATGCAACGAACACAAAATCACTCTCGCGCACACCAACCTCCGACTGTTCCACCATTAAAACTTCGAATCTCTTAAGCATCAGATCCAAACGGGAATCTCCATAAGCATCCAGATCGAAACGGGAATCTCCATAAGTATCCAAATCGAAACGGGAATCTCCATAAGCATCCAGATCGAAACGGGAATCTCCATAAGCATCCAGATCGAAACGGGAATCTCCATAAGCATCCAGATCGAAACGGGAATCTCATTTATGCCTGCTGTACACGTTGGGCATATATTATGGCAAACATATTAGCCTGGAGAAAAAATAGATAGGTATTTAACGCAAACAAAATCTGTATAGAATTTTCTAATGAAAAACTTATATAACTTCATGTATCGCGTAACGGGTGTGACCTTAGAAAATCGCCAAATGCGACCAAGATGACTTTCAGTTAAACACCTGTAAAATTTTCGATGAAAGTATACAGTAAGATTCTTTTATGTAAAACTTGAATAGTTAGTTAACTTGAATATTATATATCCAGATATGGTTTTTGTTTTAGTTAATAACACAATTCAATTTTTGTCAAAGTAGAGTAAAGTTTCATGTAAACGCCCTATAGTTACGACGCGTGAATATAAAAATTGAATCAGGCGCGTGCATGTGATCACTCTGGGAGCTCTTAGCAAACTAAACGCGCGGCCAACATGTGGACACGGTGGCCATAACTCCGCCACAACCCTTTGATCTTTTGATAAAAACCGACACCATATGTATCTCGTTCCAATCATTCCAATACATACCAAAATAAATACAAACCCCTGCTCTACGCGATGGCCATAGGTATTGGCTATATCCATTCGCCACAATGTTGGCCAAAGTGTAGAGCAGGCATTACATTATACCTATCCTTGTGGTTAAGCATTTGCACAGTTGGTCGTGAACATATCTTGAGACCCATTCATAAAGGAAGTGCGATATATAGAGATATAATAATAATGATAACATATAATTGATGATTTAAAATGAAATCATCGACGTTACGTAAAAGACTCATGTGTTCACTTATACATTCCTTGTTTACGAATCATGTGTTAAAATTGTTTAAATTAGTAAGGATCGTCCTCATTGCTTGTTATTTTTTTTATTAAAAAATACAATGTACTCGTTATATTTTTAAGAAGAAAATGATAATTTACCTTTATTTTGGAAATATTATATCTTTATCATGGACGTATAAAAAAAGGCGGACAGAATTTCGGCTAATACAATACTGAGGCACCGTAATGGCGGCGGTTATGTATGGTTGCTAGGTTAGCCAATTTTTTACCAATAAAACGCAGTAAAAAGATCAAATATTTAATTGTTCAAAATTTTACCCGACTGCGGGGGATAATGTTTTTCAAGCGTATGTATGCATGTATGTATGTCCAATAATAAGCGCCAAAATGAAACTTAAAAAAAAATGTCGAAAATAAAAAAATGTAAATTTCAAAAATCAAAACACCCGTCTGTACTGAAAAGAAAAAAAAAACAAGTACAGTAGTCTAGAATTCTGTTTAATAAGGAACAAGCTACTTTAACAGTCGGGACTCATTAGAAATTGTAAAATTCTTCGAATTTTCCCAATATTGGGTTAATGTAGGACGACAGTCAAAGTAACTTTATTCCTTATAAAACGGAATTCAAGACTACAGAACTTGTTTTTTTTTTCTTTTACGTGCAGTCAGGTTTTTCATTTTTAAATTTACTTTTTTTCTACTGATTAGCATCCCAAATGCTGAGTATTTTTTTTTATAATATTGTCTTTTACTTTGAGTGATTCTTGAAATTTGCTCTAATTTGGAGATATGGTGAAACCGAATCGTTAAATATTTTTCCGCTACATATTTAATAAGGTTTATTTTGTGTTCTGTTCCGGCAAAAGGGTGTTCTGAATGTAAGTTTATAAAAATACTTTCATTGCCAACAAATTTTTCTAGAATTTTTGTGACAATATATTTATGTTGCCTATCGTTATATAATGTGATGCTATGTTTTATAATCTTTCTTATAACCATTTCGCAAATACAACAAATATCGAAGACATCTTTCGATTTGAAACTACCATGAAGTCTTGTTTTTATTTTTGTTAAAAAAGTTTATGTTTTCATAAGCCAGAGGAAATCAACTAAATATGACGCATAGAACCTCTTTCTTTTTGAAGTCGATTAAAAATTTTAATTTACCTTTTGAGATGCTGCATGCGTAACAACACGCCGGAGTCCTCCTTTAGTTGTATCTAAATAGTCATATCATAAATCATAAGGCTTCAAAATGGAGACTGCAAATGACACTATATTTGTTTGGAATACATTCATTTTCACCGTTACAATTCCTAATAATTGGGATCCAGTCATTTTTCCATACTACATTTTCTTTAAGGAATCTGATAAAAAAGAATAACAAATAATAGATTGAAGCTAATGTCAACCCAATTTCCCATATTTTAGGTAATATGGTTACGTGAACATTAATTATTTTGTCCTTAGAATGAAAATTGATTTCGATTTCTAAAAACTGGAAAAAAGTGATTAAATAATTCATTTGCCTATGAAACGTGATTCCTGGATTTTATTTCTTTCGGTCACTACGGTTTTTACACCATTTTACCACGCAAGACATCTTGTTTAACTTATTTTTATCTCCACTGCTGCTTTGACGTTTGCACGCGTAATGGCTGACTATGGTGTGAATGTGTGTGTGCCGGCTTGTACGTATAGCGACTGGCCGACTCTGAGCGACACAGTTTGTTGTTTACCGGGACTCTGTCGGCCTTTTTTATACGTCCTTGATCTTAATATGGAATGTTTAAGTCTGATTGACTGATTGTGCCTTATTGATAAGTTCCTTGAAGTATTTTTTGAAATATAAATTTATAGGAGTTACATGCCTATCTGTTTCATTTATTTAAAAATACCCAAGTGTTTCCTAATTAATACAGTTAATTATATTCTTTTTAATCATTAAACTGCTAGTTGCTTAATCTAAAAAAGAATAACTAGAAAACATTGCACGGTCTGGTCCGTGTGGATTTTTTTCTAAAAAAATTTCTTTAGATTTAATACAGTTAGATCAAGGTCTGTATAGTATTTCCTCGGAGACTCTTTTGACCGGAATATATATTTTTATATTAGAGGGGGCATCAAAGTCGTAGTGGACGGTAATTGCTCGGACTCCGAATCCGTAAACTCCGGTGTCCCACAAGGCTGTATGCTATCGCCTACGCTGTTGCTCACCTGATGGTAAGTTATCACCGTCGCCCATAGACACCTGCAACACCAGTCCCTGTAGCATGAGCAACAAAGTTTATAGTAATTTGACAATTGAGCGTGATAACAGCGCGTTATATATCATATCGCGGTGTTCATGCTAAGGAGGCAGGAGTATCACAAATACGATGCCGGCCTTTGAGGAAGGAGTAAGCTCTGTTTTTTATGGTTTTCAGGTCCTATTCGTCCGAAAACATGCTGGTGACAATGTATTCCACAGTTTTATCGTACGAGGTAAAAAAAAATCGTCAAAATCGCAAGGTCGTGGATAGCCACGCTTCAAAATGGTGGAGATGCAATTTTTGTCGCGATGTACGATAGCAAAAAACAACAGCGGGTATTAACTGAATAATTCCTCAGAACACTCCCCGTGATAAATGCGATAGAAAATGTAGAACTAAGTTACATCTCTGCGCAAAGCCAAAGGATCAAGCTTATCGGGAAGGTTCTGGTCGTCGATAATTCTAGCCGCTCGTCGCTAGATGCTATACAGAGGCAGAAGCTGGTACTGGGATGCCCCCCCGCAAAGCGCAGTGTTTTTATTTGGCCCAAAAAAATCCCTCTTCTGTTTATTGCTGTAATTAGTCAAGTGTGATATTTAAAACATACGAGTATAGCTATAATTTTTTGATAGTCACAGGTCGCCTTTTTATGGAAAAAAAAATAAAATAAAAATCAAAATCTATAAAAAATATACGTCTTATTCAGACCTGGAATTAAAAAAAAACAATTGCAGAACACAAAATGTGTTCTATTACACCATATTTATTTCCAATAAATATCTTTGTCAGTTACGCTTCCAGAATTTATTTTAACGTCTTTTCATGATGAGGTCACGTAAAGTTCATGTTTTTTTTAAACGGTTTTATTTCGGTTTATCTTAGAGATAGGAACTAGGCGGCTCACACGCTTGCCTTGTGCTGGCCGCTGGTTGTAAACCCTTCACATTTTCTTCTTCATCAAGTGCGACAGCTACTAGAGCCGAATCACATTTTGTAAAACTAAACCCCCACAACAGAAATAAAAAAAACGAATTTGAGCGCCCGTCTGTACGCACTGAAGACATTAGTAAAATAACACTACCTTTTTGTTGTGATGTGTTTCTGTCGGTGAGTAAGGTTCTACAGCTCCGTGGGGCAGGGGTAATAATGCTTCAATGACTGCACTATATGGGATAGAAATTGATGTGAATGAAGAAGTGGATATATTTAAAAAGAAAAACAGAAGATTAATTCTGCTGTAATCAAATGAACCTTCTGTTTCTTTTTAGGGTTCCGTTTTTTCCTTTTAAGGAACGGAACCCTTATAGGATCACTTTGTTGTCCGTCCGCCCGTCCGTCCGTCGGTCAAGACCATTTTTCTCAGAAACGCGTGGAGATACCAAACTGAAATTCATATCTAATACTCATGTCTACTGTCCTTTGGAGCTGTGAAAAAATCAAACTTCTGAGCCAAAGCAATCAAAAGATACAGCCGTTTATGCCGCAAATTTCTGCAAATTTGCGAATCTCGCACGGGAATCAAAACCTACAGAATACTTGTTTTAGAATTGCGAAAACCGTAAATTTTTAGTTACATCATATAATAAAAATATTTTCGAAAATTTTAAAGTTACTACCTCTTTTCTCATGAACGCGTAGAGGTATTAAATTGAGTTTGTACGGAACCCTCGGTGCGCGAGTCCGACTCGCACTTGGCCGGTTTTTTTTACATATTTCTTACTTAATATAAAGATTATTGCATGCACTTTCAGTAATTTTATTTTCTTGACCCCCCCCCCCCCCCCCCCGATACTCAAACCTGGCTACGCCCG